CAACCATGGATGACGAAAGGGTTGAGAAATGCTTGTAAAAAAAAGAATTATTTGTATACATGTTTCTTGAAATTGAGAACACAAGAGGCTGAAAATAAATATAAGAAGTATAAAAATAAATTAGTAGCGATTATAAGGAAACACAAGAAGGAATATTATAGTGATTTATTAAATAAAAGTAATGGTGACATGAAAGCTACATGGCGAGTAATAAATAGTGTTCTGAAAAGTCATAAAGCAAAAACAGGTATTTCACAATATTTTTTGAAGGATGACGATGAAATCCATGATGAAAATGAAATTGTAAATGGATTTAATCATCATTTTGTGAACGTTGGATCAAGCCTTGCTGCTAAAATACCAAAAGTAGACAATAATGTGAACCATTCAGTTATAAGTTGTGACAACAGTATTTTTCTTAATGGAACTGACAAAGTGGGTGTAATCATTGATGGTAGGAATACCAGAACACTAAGCATCTGAGGTTAGCTGCCCAACAATAAAACTGAAAGATGGGACCCCCCCCCCCCCCCCCCTAGGTTTTTGAAGATGCATCTTATTAAGTCTTGGACGCTTATCCCGAACTAGTGCATGTTTGAAAAAAACGGGGACCACACTCGTCACAATACTATTATTTATAATAGTAAGAAGAGACGGTCCAATCGTGGGTAGAACTTGAAAGAAAAAACAACGCAGGAATGTGGTCAGCAGGGGATCTGAAACAAAAGCATCCCCAACTTCCAGATTAACCACAGACAATCCGTGAGACAGAACTAAATCAAGTGTATGGCCCTGTTGATGAGTTGGACCAACAACATGTTGCACTTGGTTGAAAGATTGTAGCAGATTTAGAAACTCCTGCACCAAAGGCTGGTCAGCACAACAAACATGTACATTAAAGTCTCCCAGAATCAAGACCCTGTCGTAACTGAGCAGTGTTCCAGTCAGAAAGTCAGAAAATTCACTTATGATGTTTTTGTTGTACGAGGGTGGTCTGCAGTGGTGGGATGTAACTAAGTACAAGTACTTCATTACTGTACTTAAGTACGTTTTTCATGTATCTGTACTTTACTTAAGTAGAGTTCAAAGTGGGTACTTTCGACTTTTACTGCACTACATTTTACATGAAGTATCTGTACTTTCTACTACATTACATTTCTATAATGTGTTGAGTTAAAAGTTACATTCACGTTGTAGCTTTTTGATTTGTTTGTTAATTTGAAAGTAATCTATGGCAAGAGGGGAGTTGGTCCATTGAATCACTGCAAAATGGTCAGAAAACGTTAGACCTGCCTTCAAGAAGAGCTGGTCTAGTATACACACGTCACTGAGCTGGGTGCACCCGCAGCACCACTAACACACCCAAAATGGATTCCACCACAGAGAGTCAGCCAGAAGATACGCCCCACCCAGGGCCTTATGGAAAGATTATTGAAAGACAGTTCATTACAACAGGACAGATTCTCTTTTCCAAAAGAGCCAGACTGGACTCATAAAACTTTGAAAACCAACTTCTTCTGAACTTGAACAAGAAATTATTGCTGCAATATTAAAATGTGTCACTTCATGATGTTAGGAGACGAGAGATGTCTCCAAATGTCTCGACACTCGGGTCCAAGTTTTGAAAATAGTGTCAGAAGTTAAAATATTGTTCAATATTGACCCATTATAAAGTTGAATAGACAGTATTTAACCAGAGCTGATGACAAACTGGAGTTGAAATGATCAGAGCCTGTTCCTTTGTTGTGTCTAATGCTCCTTTTTACAGACAGACAACTTTTACTTCAATGTGTTTACTGCAGTTAAAATGACACATTGGTTTTTCTCTGTGTTAAATAAAAACTTTCAAAAGGTAAAATCATTCCTCTTTCTTATTTTCATTAATGACATTTAACTCTGCAGGTCATCCCTGAAATTCTGACACAGAATCACAAGTCCAGGTTGAACTGTGTCACAGAGTAAACACAATAAAAACATGTATTATCTGCAGCATCGTTCAGTAAAATGGAACGACACTATTAATGTATTACAGAAAATATACATACGGTACTCAGACTTAAAGACACGTAGACCATTGCATTAGTTAATACATTCAGCAAGTACTTTTACTTTTAATACTTTAAGTATTTTTAAAAGCAAGTACTTAATTACTTTTACTTAAGTAAAAATGTTAATGTGGTACTTCTACTTTTACTAGAGTACATTTTTGTCTGTTTATGTGTACTTTTACTTAAGTACAGAGTTTGAGGACTTTCTCCACCACTGGTGGTCTGTAGATCAGGCAGCACAGTGTTGGGTTGGAGCGGCCCAGCTCAAAATGCAGCAGCTCAAAACTCTGAAAAGCTACAGCTGGAGCTGTCTGCAGTCCCAGAGCTTTTTAAAAACTGTTAATAATCCACCACCCCTTACCAGAAGTCCTTGGAGCATTAAAAAAAGCGCAATCCACCGGCAAAAGTTCAGAAAAAACACTTAACTCACCAGCCAGCCTCGACTACGGGGATCAGGCAGGACCCAGCAGGATCAGCGAGGCACCAGGACAGGTGAACATCCAGCAGATGGTCGGCAGGAGATGATGCAGCAGACAGTCCGGAGTTGGTTGTATTCCTCTGGAGACGACCAAAACCGCCGCAGCAACATTTTATAACAACAGGTACAATAAATAACAGTTATAATAAATAACAACAGGT